TCACCACTCTCTAGCTCTCTCGCTTTCTTGCATACTTGTTCTCTCCCAGCTCGTAACCGAATACTAACTTCAACATCGGAATATTCCTGCCGGGTGAATAGCCCCGGGTTCTTTCATCTCTTTTTGCACAGGTAACTCTCGCCCCTCACGAGCTAAAGCCCAATCACGTCCAAATAGGGGTGGGCGAATTGCGCATCATCAATATGTATGATCAATTCTTGTTTTATGAAATTGCCTAAGGCTTGCGAAAATGAAGTAATGTACAATTCCCATGAGTGAGGTTCATTCAGGTCACATGCGAGTCGTTCCCTCTAACAACCCCTAATGAGACTAATTTAAAGAATAGACAATTAGCCACATTTATCTACAATTGTTCTTGGAGATTCCATGAACATCACCAAGTGGATATCCAACTCGACGCTGGAAGTTTATGCTGCAGCTTCTCACCATCTCAGTGAGTCAAGTTTCAAGAAACTGTATCAAAATTGTTTATTTATCAACCAATTTTGGAACATGTATCCAGCGGTGATGGCTTGACCAATTCCTCCAGATTTTGTCATTATTCAACTGGAGAAGTTGTTTCCCAATCAGTCATGTCAAAATTGTCATTATCCAGCGGTGATGCACTTTGTTTTAAGTCATAATATTTGTTCAATCATTGTCTCTCAAAATTTCATGGCTAATTAATTTAATCCCTTGATAATTATTACAACTTTATAATAAATATAGACACCATATTAATATTATACCAATCACTAAACATTCTCTTTTCTTTTACTATCTTATTAAAACCAAAATCCTATAATATTAGTAATGATCTCTTAATACATAATGGATTCCAATGTCATAAAAAATAACATTATTAACCAAAAACAAAGATTTTCATCCACACAGAAACATATTTTTTATTTTGGCAATGATCCACAACGATACATAGAACAATACAAATATAAATTAAAATAAAGAAAGTTAAACACTCGTAACTAAGTTACTAAAAAGACACTTGGTAACTAAATTTCCTTATTTACTTAATGAGGAGTCCACAACAATATCTTTATATATTTTTTTGCTTCTTATTCACACGTAAAGATAGAGGAGTTGATTCCGTAAAAAACCACTTTCAAACCATGTCTTGTACTCCCAAAGAAACCTCTTTTAACAGCACTTGTTTTCCATGCATGCACCACTTTCAAAGCATCTTTATCAATTCAATAGGCTTGTCAATAAAATATTCCTTAAGGTATTTCCAAACACGACGCATGGCTTTTCCTACCACTTCCTGAAAAAGAGTGGGGGCGCAAATGAATTGAATAAAGTTCTAAAAGAAATTTTACTTTGTTTTTTTTTTTATCTAAAATAAAAAATGAAATTAATTAAAGAAAAAATTTAAGGTAAAATTTATAGTGCATTTTATGGAAATCGCTACAACACAACTCAAACATAGACGGATCAGTGATAATATACCTTATGAGATGTGAATCAATAAAAATACTTATGGAACATATGTTAATACTTATGGAACATATCTAAAATAAAAGTGCCATTGAAATTTCAAATTAAAACTCGAAGCAAAAGTGAACTAAAATTTACACTTTCTTATTTGTACTGTCGTGTAATTTACATATGTTAATACAAATGAAATTGCATTACAAACAAAGAGCCTAAAGAGAACATTTTCGTTCAGTCACCTTCAAACAAAGAGCCGACCCAGTGACGCACTACTTACATATGTAACCCACAGATCATCTACTTTGCAGAAAATTACTTATGGACAATAAGAAAAAAATTCACTTATATTATATCTATTTTCTTTTTTTTGGGAATATATCTCTCGAAATTATCATTGAGATATGCTGTGGGGAATCTGTGCGGTGGAGATGTGAATTGTCATTTTTACTGTCATCTCAAGTGGCCCCATGGAGCAATTTATGGCAGGTAGATGTTGGCAGCCGAGTAAGACTGTCTAAATTGACCTAATGTTTTATGCCGATTTTGGCTATATGGTTTTGTCCCAATTAAATAATTTGGTCAGATCGGTTTTAATAGATATTATATATAATATTGGTTGAAAAAACTTTTCTAACATATAAACAGTTTACCGTTTTACTTATGTTATCAAAAGTTAATTTTTTATTGTTATTATCACAGCTGAGGGTAGGGGCGTCACTCGAATCATGGCCTTTTTTTGTAAATCGAATTGGTGATATTGGTTTTTTCATTTCGCCAAACCAAAATCAAACCATTACTACCGGTTAACTGGTCTGTCAGTTTTGGTTTTTTGATTTTTATATTTATAATATATATTATATAAATATATGTGTAATATTATATTATAAATAATAAATGATATATAATATATTATAAATATTATAAATATATATAATATATATAATATATTTATGAATAGATCATTATAAATATAAGTATATATTTATATATATAATGAATATATATTTATATATAATACATAGAAAATATGTGACATATATTAAAAATATATATAAAATATACATATAAATATATATACCGGTCGGTTCAATTAACCATCATTTTTTTATATGTTAACCGAAAACTGAACCGGTCCTTTGATTTTTCAAAAGTTCCGAACCGATTAATTTGATTAACTGCATTTTACGATTCAATTTTTTGATGCGATTTAGTTTTTCAGTTTTTCGGTTTTTCATGGACACCTCTAGCTGAGGGTGGGCCTTGGCGCAACAGTTGGGTTGCATTATTGCAGCTTCATTGACCAGGGTTCAAATCATGACTACAGCCTCTCTCAATGTGTAGGGGTAAGACTGCCTACACATTGACTTCAACGACAAGCGTATCATTGGCACAGTTGGGAACAAATTGGTGAGCCTTGTAACCAGAGGGGTTGGGGTATTCGCTCATCGATTCAATGCCTTCAGGATAAAGCATAAAGGATAAAGGTGTATTTTAAACTATTTCAACGGGCCAGTTTTTTTTTTTTTTTTTCACTTGGAGGTATATTGGTTCGAGTTCACATCAGCGCCTCACGAGGGGGCGCCCCACAATATTCCACAGCACATCCCGACCTTATTTGAGAACATTTCCTGATGACAAGTACGAAAGATGAAGAGTTATCATCAGAAAATATTCCCAATACAAGGTCGTGAACTCTATTGGTTCTACCCCTCGGCTCTCTCTGGTTTTAGCCCTACCTGTTTTAAATATTTGAAAGAGATTTATATGGTTAAGGAGATAGCTATAATGGTTAATTGATTTAGGTGACATCTTGTGTTGGTTTCACAATTAGACAAGAAATGGCTTACTTTTCCACGTAGCTCAAATCACAGACTTCCAATTACAAGAAGTCCTAAGCATTAATGGTAAATAGTCTTTTCCTAATAACTCCAATGTCCAAGAGAATATTCAAAACCTCGTAAATCAGCTATAAAGTCAGAATTAGTAGTTCTAAGGATCAATTGGTATGGACAGGCAAATCTGATATATCCGCTGCTAGGAGCCTAGGACAATTATTAGAGCCCCAAGTGCAAATATTAGCTGGACTAAAGAACATTTCGAAAGCCGGGTGAGTCAGATTTGTCTAAGTTCTGGCACCATAATGAGCTGGATGCCTTTGAAGGACATGGGGGACACACTCTTGGAGGCTTTGCGAATGTGGCAAAGAGAACTTCAATTGGAACTCGGTTTACCATGTTTTCATCGCCATAGCTCTCATTTTTTTATTCTTATTATAGGTAAAAATGGGAAAGATGACTAAGATGAAAGTAATTGGATACAAAATTGTAACCATGGCACAAAAATTGAGGCATCTTAGAGCACGAAAAATAATGGTGCCCCTAACCGCCCAACTCATTCTTCCTTCGACACCTATGACTCCTATGTCTCAATTTGGTTTGGAACACTTCCTTTAGAGTGCTTTTGGTGCATTAGTTGCACCTGCGTGCACAAGTATTTACATCTTGGGTGTTGTTTAGTGCAACGCAACTCCTGTGTACACTTCAAGCAACACCTGGTGCAACCAGATTTGTGCTAAGGTCCTTAGGTGCAATCAGTATGGACTTAGGTGCACTCATGGGGTGCCTAGATAATCACTCTAGGGTATGAGAATCACTCACCCCATAGTTAGCAACTTAGCATAAGCTGAAAAAAAAAATCAATAAACTTCATTGTTCTTTGTGTAAAATGTCCATAATCTTAGGAGTCAAACTATTACACACAAATATCCTAATAGGACTCAAACTAAGTTGTCATATCCTATTAAATTCAAAGAAGACTCAATAACTCTAATCCTACTTATGTAATGACTCTAAAATTTTATACATAAACAAACTATAAATAGGGAATCAGACCCTATTATTGAACCCTACAGAAAAATTGTAAAATAACAAATATGTCCTTGGTGTCCAAAAGTACATAAATGCATAAAATTTCACAAAATTCCGATTTTGTCTCTTCTGTTACTGCATCATTCTCCCCTGGTTCAAAAACAAAACTAGTCCTCAAGTTGAAGAAAAGTTGATATGCCCCAATGAAAAAAGGAATAGGACTTCCCACAACTACATGCTTGGACTCTAGAGTAGAGGCTACACACAAATAGAAAAGAATCTTGGAAGAAATGTATTTCTGAAACACTGCCTTCCATGACCATTTTTGTTAAATCATCAATAACATTGGCTTCTTGATCACATAAATCATCAACTTACTATTGTGATAAATCTTTCTCTTGCTTATCCAAAATCTCAGCTGCAACATTTGGAATTTTTCCTTCAATCTCTAGCTTAAGAATCACCATCTCTATGTGTTCTACTACCCTTGGTTCCTTAGTAAATTCTAGGACTTCTTCCATTGATGTTGATGGAACTTGTGCCATGTCAAGTTATAATTCTAGATTTGGTTCTACTTGAACCGTAAGGTAAAGTCACTTACTTCCTTACTAAGATCTACTATAATTAGCATATTGTATCTTGCTTTACTTCTATCAATATCTCTTTTTTATCATTAACCTCAAACTAATCATGGGTGCTGGAAATTCTAGCAATTTTTGCTTTTTCTTGGTTTGCACCCTTTTGATTTTTAGTATCTACAACTTCTATAGCTTGAAAATTTTCTTCTTTAATTTCATCATCAACTTCAGTTCTAGGATAGGCATCAACATGCGATGAATCATTTACTTGCTTTTCAACTTTGTGGCTTCTTCCCATTGACTTCAAGTTCTTTGTTATAACTTGCTGCTTATTCTCTTGCTTGAAATTTGTTAACTCCATATATAGATCATCATGAAAGCCTAGTGGGATGTACTTTAAATGTAAACACCTCTTCATCTCTATTTATGTACTAATAGGATCATCACATCCCTTTCCTATTTGTTGCTCAAGAGTTCTCCACCACACTTTATCATGACTCGTCGATTTCATGCATGCAAATCTAATCCTTTGTTTGTCAAATATATCATGCCACTCAAAATATTGTTCTAGTTCAACAACCCAATCAAAGAATGCTTGTGAATCATCTCCTTTAAAATCTGGTATTTCCCTTTATATTCTAACATGTTTGAAAACCTTATTCCCATAGTCCAACATTATTTGATCTGTTTCCTTCCACCATCTTCTCAAATAAGTCAAACAGAGACCCATCATATGGTTCAAAAATCCAATCCTCATTGATTCTAGACATGTAAGATTGTTTAGAAGATACCGTAGGCCTATAAAATTGTTCACTTTTTGAGAGCAGGGTGAATAAAGCATTAGCTTTGATCAGAAATTTATGGTTGTTGATAGTTGTAATGGCTTCTTGAAGGAATAAGAAAGAAAATAGGAATAGAAAAAGAGAGAAAATACTTGAAATCATTTACAGGGTGCGTAAAATGTCCATATATATTTATTGACTCTAAACTCATAATAATCCTAAGAGTCAAGCTGTTATATTTAATAATCTTAGTAGGACTCAAACTAAGCTATCATATCCTATTCCAATTCAATAACTCTAATCCTATTTATGCAATGAATTTGAAATTATAAGCATAAACAAACTATAAATAGACAATCAAACACTAGTATTGGGCACTAGAAAAAAATTGTAAAATATCAAAAGTGTCCCTAGTCTGGTATCCAATTTTTGGCATTGGTTGAGGCAAGGTTGGTTTTGTGGGTGTCTTGTTTTGAGTTTTATTTTGTTGGGGCTAGTTTGATATTTGGATGCTTTTACATGTTCATATCAGCTTCCTTTTTGCGTGGGGCTGATCGTTCTGTAATTCATTTTCCTTTTGAAAATATTTTTTCCTTTAGGCTCAGTTTGGAAGGACTGTAAATATAAATATGTGCAGTGCAAAGCTTTTTTATGTATTTTGTATTTCTAAACCTATATTTGTATTTGTACTCTTCATAAACTGGGCCTTCAAAAAAAATATCATCACTCTAAAATTCAATTCTTAACAACAAAAAAAATATATTGTAGAATAATTGAGAAATAGGTAAAGTATATTAAACTTACCTTGTAGGCTTTCTCAGCATCATTTTCCGCCATGCGTGCCTGTTCAACCTCCCTGGTACGTTTAATAGCGTCGGCTATAGCAATCGAGGCATCTTCTTGAGCCTTTTTTGCAGCTTCCTCGGCTTCTTTTTTGGAAGCAATAGCCTCTCTGTGTGCCTGCGCCATTTGCTCAGCCTTCTCCATAGCAGCACTAGCCTCTTCACGGGCCTGCTTGGCCATGAGCTCAGCATGTTTCCGATCTTGAATGGCTTGAGCGACAGAATTGACATGATTAACAATGTAGTCTGTATCCGTTTGGAATTTAATCCAAAGGGTTTTACGTTCGGAAGGAGCAATCAAAGTTTTCATTGTAGGATCCTGTTAAGATGTATCAACCAATTATAATAAACATACTAACATTGTTACACAACTAATATTACAAGGAATTGAAGCTTCTCCAAATAGAAATGTCTCCAGTCACCCCTCGTCACCAGGGTGACTTGACACCACATAATCAAGAACATATATATTTGAGAGAGAGACATGGACATGATCAGTCCGGATTACTTGCTGATAATCAATAGGGCAATCCTTTACTCCCACAGGATTACCAACAATAGTAATTAGGCAATTCTAGCACTCAAAATATATTAGAGAATATCAACTTATTCAAGGACCTCACCTAACACCTGAAGCTTTTAGGTTGAATGGGTTTTTGAGATAGTACTAAAGTCATTTTGACCAAGTGGTCTAGTATTCAATCCTCGTTACCCCATTATAATAAAATAAGCTTTAGCACAAAGTATGAGTGTGCCTATGCTTGTTCACGCTTCAAACCCAATGGGTTTCCGTGTGAGAAGCTAAGACTGAGCTTGCATCGACCAGGGCTGAGAATATGTAGACTACAAGTTAATTCACAAGCATATAGCTACACTAGTATATACATGCCAAGGGAAAAGGTTCACTAATCTGATCAAATAGGATACTTGCCTACGTGAGATCAGAAAAGCAGAGCAGGTAGGTTTCTCAAGATTTGATTCAATAAATATCCAAATTTGACTAATTCAAATTTGGATATTGTCTGATTTAATTCAAATTGGATCCGCTTACATCCCTATATCCAACAAAATTGTCAGACGATAGGGATTCCTTCCTCCATTCGACAACAAAAGTTTTCCCAATCAAAAATCCTTATCACAATAGAACTTGTATATTTTTCCTTGTATTGGTTTGTGATTTCCAAGATTAATATTAACCATAAAAAAGTATTAATTTTTTATATAAAATTTACTCATAAAAGTGGTCTTATTTTGCATACACGGCAAGATGTTTTGGTCAGAAAATTTTCCCATAAAGGCTTGGGAGAGGACCATGAAGACTCCTTTCGATGTCCAATTTAATTTGTCATGTGTAAGTAAAGTTCATTAGACAACCCCGACCAGCAAATTAACTCGTTTGCTACACTACCCAGTACCCACTAAATGACTTATTGCTCTTTTACCCTAGGGTATGGCAACCAAACCAACTTCGCTTTCAACCGTTCAGAGTTTGCAACCTTCTCAAGAACTTATCCACAAATAGACATAGTACTAACTCTTGCAATACAAACACATCAGCTATTATCAAACGCCATGCTAATTGCTAAGTGACAATTAAACAGAGAGGCATTAGAAAATTCAAATCCTTGGCATTATTTACCTCTTCCCATGTGCTTTTGGCCAGCGGATCTGATGCTGTGGTTCTCGTGCTACTATCATCCTTACCATTGGCATTCATCAGAGTGTGGTAGAGAGTTGCTTCGATATTATCAACAGTGTTACCCAAACGCATGGCAGCCATAACAGCCAGTAGCTTAAGACACTGAAAAGAATGAAAGTTCTCAGATATTTGGAAACCAGTATATATATATAGAAGAGAAGATTGAGAAATTGAGATTGAGTTGTTTCGTACTTTTAAGCGGGAAACTTCGGCAATTGCTTTGACGTCATCATTCTCAGTCCAAATCCTTGGCACATTATTAGAGTCATTGGTAAAACACATTAAAAACCTGTCAAATTTAGTGACGTTAGGTGAAAATCAGGAATAATATAGCCCAAAAGTTATGCAGGGAGGGAGGGAATTTCTACCTGTCATGCATGTGTTTCAGGACATCATTTGCTTCATCTTTTGCCGTCTTTTCAACCACATCTCCTCTTGCATAGTCTTTTAGGCATTCAAGCATTTCATCCTTCCTTTTATCATCAATGTCGAAGCCATTGAGTTCCCTAGATAGCCCATTGACAGCTGACATGGTCTCATGTTGAAGATACGATTTTATTCTTGGCCAGGTTTTATCGTCTGCTTCATGCAGACTATCTTTCACAGGTCTCGTTAATGCCTCTTTTAGTTGTTTCTACAAGCCGGTGATAGCATGTTTGGTTATCTCTAGCTGTTGCTTATTGTGATATATGTCCAAATATGAATTATAAAAGCTTAAAATCATATTAACTAAGCTTCAAATTCTTTAACGTAAAAGCTTAAGTTGTTAGGTGAGATTCTTCGATAGGTTTTTGTTCTCAAAGCTTTTTGGTTCAACGGTTTCTTGAAATCTTATTATTTTCTTTGATCAAATGGTCTAGTGTTCAATTTTTGTTTCCTCCATTATATTTAATTGGATTTCAACATAAGATATGTGTGGAATTGTGCTTGTCAATACTTTAAACCCGATAAACTTTCGCATGAGAAGTTATAGTGGAAAAAAAAAACCTATTGAAAGACCTCACTAATAACTTAAACCTTTAAGTTGAACAGTTTCTTGATAACGGGATTGGAGAAATATTAGACGAGGATTAATCTGCTCATACCTTGTATTTCTTAGTACACTCAGCGAGTTTGATTTGACGGAGTGTAGTAACATATTCACCAATATCTTGCTTAAGTTGAAGCCGAACACCAGATGAATCCCAGTTTGCTTGTGGAATAGTAGCATCTATATCATCAATGAGCATCAGAACGTGAATGTACAGAAAGATCAACGAAGCAAATGTTTTTACTTCGAATCACATGTGCTTCTGCTTTTGACGATGGATGTTTATATTAGAAAGGCATCTCATCCAACATTTAATAATTCTCAAAATAATAATGAGGCATGGCCATTGAGCCTAAGAAACAAACATTCTATAGCATTTAAGAATTTTCAAAATAATGATGAGAAATGGAGTTTCAGCCTGCGAAACAAACATTTGACAACATTTAAAAATTTTCAAAATAATGATAGAGGCATGGGCTTTCAGCCCAAGAAATAAACATTTGATAGAAAATGAAGTACAGAAATCAGACAATACGGATTAGCTGAACGCCCCAAGCTGCTATGGATTCACCAAGTGTGACTCCCTTTTCAAGATACCGATGGAATGGTTTGAAAAGGCCTTGTTTGGGTAGACTTTTGTAAGTTACTTTTTGTACTATTGAAAGTGTAAAAGTATGAAAAATATGATATAACGTTTGTATTATATATTTTATACTTTATGTTTTCATATTTTTAAAAGTACGAAAAACTTTAAAACACGAAGTCAGTTTTTTATAGTTCTTGCTTTTGGTGAAATAGTGCTTACGTTTTTTGCAAATAATGGTCACATGTGACCACCCTTCAATAAAACTCTCGACGCTATCTCTGCTTTCTGCTGCTAAAGTCAGATCGTTGTTGCCGGTCTTAGACCGCAAAACCATCGAAAACCATCATCGGAAGTACAGACAGACATGCTTTTACCAAATAAAAACTAGTGCTTTTGATTTGGAAAACATACTTTTAATTTTTTTTCCTCAACTGGTTTTTAAACCAAAAATACTAAAGTAAAAATATTTATATACTTTGGTATTTTTAAAAATACAAAAATAGAAATCTATCCAAACAACACCTTGTTTTATATTCATTTTTCTACCTTTCCCTTCCTCTTCTACGTCCACACTCTACCCCCCTCACACTGGTTATCATCAATAGCCACCACCTATCATCGTCAACTTTCACCACCACTAGCAGCTCTCTCTCTCTGCAACATTCTCAAAAGAGCTTGGATTCTTGTTTCCTCTTTTCTTAACATTTAACAGAAAGCAAATAAATAAATAAATAAATAAATAAAGGCTTTAGGATTAAGTTATCTGTCAAAAATAATTAACTGTAATAGAGACTAGAAAGGAAATGTACTATACAAATTCGAAAAAGGGCAAACTAAGAAAAAGAAGAACCTGCATATCAAAGAACATGTTGAGGCATCGGACAATGAACACCTTCTCTCCAATTTCTCCCTGTCAGTGGTTCATGGCAGAAGACCAAATGATTAAAGACAGAGAGAGAGAGATGATGGTTGCTAGCTGGATTTGCAGCAACGGCTTAGACTAATTGGTTCATGGTGGAAGAGGACAATGAAGACTACAAGAGAGAGAGAGAGAGAGGCCTATGATGCTAGAGGTCGACGGTGATCAGTGGGGTTAGTAGAGGGTAGAGGCTTAAAGAGAAATGGGAGAAACAAAGGTGTTATTAGGGTAGGGAACAAAGAAGACATAATCAGTTCCAAAGCCCAGTCAACAGCATGGGGCATTCAGTTAATCCAAACTTGGAATCAGCTAGTCCAACCCGTCCTAGAAATTCAAGGTTAGATTAAGATTAGGGTTGGGGTTCAACAACTCGGGTTGGGTTAGAATTCACCTCAATCCACCAAACCTGACCTAAGTTGCGCCCTTAAAGCTAACTTGCACCCCTAAATCTAAAGTTTCTACTCATAATACTGGGCCAATAACTGTAGAAGACATCAGGTAGATGGCATAACATGATTAACCTAGTATTATCAATGATAAAAATGACACAAGTATGTTGTGAATGACAAGAGGACAGTATAACCAAAACGGATCAGGTATATATGTATATAACAGATAAATGAMGAATSACAATTTCAAAAATTCTGGTGTAAGACAAATAACATAAATAAAAATATAACACATATATATATATATATATATATATATATATATATGAATATGAATAAAAGTAATATGAATAAAGGCTGAAGAGAAAGAGAATAAAAATATGAATAAAATTCAGTTATAAGCACTATGAGTTGTGACATTTTATTTTATCCTTATACCTAACTAGTAAATTTTCAAAAATCTCGTATTTATTTTAACAAAAGAACTCCTGCAAAAGGGGTCCAATTGATCTGAAGACAACTTGAAATGTCAAAATATGGATTCAAAGATCAAATACT